AGCCTGGGGCTGCGCACGGGCGAGGTGCGCACTGCGCGTGCTTTGGGTGACAGGGACGCGGCCCGCCAGCGCCTGCTGGTCGCCGTGCGGGATGGAGGACAGCCGCCCCTTTCCGCAACTGTCACGTTGCTCCTGGTTTTCGCAGACAGCCTACAAGAGGCGCTGCCGGATGTCAGCGACCGTCCGGAGCCCTCTGACCCCCAGGCTGAGCTGCAGTTTTACCTGGTGGTGGCCTTGGCCTTGATCTCAGTGCTGTTTCTCCTAGCAGTGATTCTAGCGGTTGCGCTGAGCCTGCAACGCTCCTCCCGCCCTTCCTCCTGGAGCTGCTTTAAGACTGATGTCTGCTCCAAGACTGGATCTGGGGTTATTCCCAACTTTAGCGAAGGGACTTTGCCTTATTCTTACAATCTATGTGCTGCCTCACATTCCTCAGAGACTGAGTTTAAATTTCTCAGTATAAAGCCTGAAAATGGTCCATCACAAGATCTTCTATGTAATGAAGCCTCTTGGTTTGAAAGTGCCAATAATGATAATCGCAAAATGACTTCTAATTCAGTCAATTTGCAACAGGTGAGTTACGTCAAAACCTTTTATTTCTATAAGTATAATTAGGTTATAGATAAAAAGTATACAGGCTAACTATACCCTGATTTTATTGTGTTTTATTGATTTTTCTGGGCATTGTTTGTGTGTGAGGGGTGTTAGAATTTTTTTGTTCATTTATCTGTGTTGCAGTCTTTCATATAAAGTGGCCTTGTGATGTCTTGAAATTTTTGTTAAATCTAAAACCACATATCATGAAACATTTTTGATATATTAGCATAACCCTGTCATTGGGAAACCTTATATAATTAAACACAAATGTAGGCACTTAAGTGGTTTACTTAGTTTCAATGCAGTCAGTCCTAAATTATGTTTTGTAGATAATATATTAATACAAGTTTTCTCATTGTAGACAATATATTTTCACTTCCTTTTTATGTTTTTATTTTATTTTTACAGTTTTTTAAAATTCATTTAAGTAATCCCTACACCCAACATGGGGCTCAAATTCATGACATGGATATCAAGAGTCACAGGCTACTCTGATTGAGCCAGCCAACTGCCCCCCTTTTCATGATTTTAAAAGTATACAGAAATATTGCTTATGCTAGAGCATTTATTAATCTATGTGTTAATAAAATAGATGACATCTAAACGTGGCAATACTTGTAACTGGCAGTAGGTGAATTGGTTCCAAATGTGTAGTTGTTGGTGCCCTTATTGAAAATGGGACAAATAAAAGAGACTCTTAACTATAGAGAAGAAACTGAGGGTTGCTGGAGGGGAAGTGGGGGGGGATGGGCTAAATGGGTGCTAGATATTAAGGACGGCACTTGTGATGAGCCCTGGGTGTTACATGTAAGTGATGAATCACTAAAATCTATCCTGAAACTAGTATTACACTATATCTTAACTAGAATTTAAATAAAAATGTGAAACATTAAAAAATGAAAATGGGACAAATATAAATGATGGTGGAATAGAATTCAAATTTACAGAAAAGCATAATCTTATTTCTTTTCTCCAAGGCCCTAAGAGCTCATGACCCCCCAAAAAATGAGTAGTAAATTCCCGGGAATATATAAAAGTATTCAAAATATGCGCTTTTATTCTTCTTGGGGAGAGAAATATGAGTGACATCTAAGCAGATTTAGCAGAAATAAGATTCTTTGCATGATGGTTTCACAAAAACGGTGCAGTATTAAGTTAGGACTCTAAGCGTCGCTGTTCACTAATCCCGGCAAGGAAAGTAATGACAACTCAAGTAATATCCTCCAGCACAAAGCAGATCAGACACCATAGCTCTCCAGCTGTGCAGAAATTCTAATCTAAAACGCTTCGCATCTGACCTCTACTTGTTTATGGACCTTGGCTTCTAATTCAGAGAAGCACAAAAAAGTGATTGTGAACCTGCTCCCTCTACTCACAATCCCCAGGAAGTCCATAAGGAGCCTGTCATGGCAGCTCTGCAAAAGCGCCAACACCAGAGCGGATTAGTGGTACTCGTTATTCTGCTGGGGATTCTGGGGGGGCTCGGGGCCAGGCAGATCCGTTATTCCATTCCTGAAGAGCTGGACAAAGGTTCCTTCGTAGGAAACATCGCTGACGATCTGGGGCTAGAGCTCCAGGAGCTGGGGGAGCGTGGAGTCCGCATCGTCTCCAGAGGTAGGATGCAGCTCTTTTCTCTGAACCCGCGAAGCGGCAACTTGGTCACCGCAGACAGAATAGACCGGGAGGAGCTCTGTGCCCAGACCGCGCGGTGTCTGGTGAGTTTTAACATCCTCATTGAGGATAAACTGAATCTTTATCCCATAGAAGTGGAAATACTGGACATTAATGACAACACACCCCGATTCTTTAGGGAAGAATTAGAGGTGAAAATTCTGGAAAACGCACCCCCATCCTCTCGTTTTCCACTAATGGAGGTCTATGACCTGGATGTGGGAATGAACTCTCTTCAAAGCTTCAAACTCAGCAAGAATAGTCACTTCTCAGTGGACGTGCAGAGTGAAGCTGATAGGCCCAAATACCCGGAGCTGGTGCTTGAGCGTGCCCTGGATCGGGAGGGAGATGCTGTTCACCACCTCATCCTTACTGCTGTGGATGGCGGTGAACCTGTCCGCTCAGGCACTGCTCGAATTCTGGTAACTGTCCTAGACGTGAATGACAACGCTCCAGTATTTACTCAGCCTGTCTATCGTGTAAGTGTTCCTGAAAACCTGCCAGTAGGCACACCAGTGTTGTCGGTAAATGCTACTGACCAGGATGAAGGAGTCCACGCGGAAGTAATGTATTCCTTCCTGAGGGTAACAGAAAAGATCTCCAAGATTTTCTGCTTGAATGTTTTCACTGGAGAAATCTCGATCTCTGCAAATTTAGACTATGAGGATTCAAGCTTTTATGAACTGGATGTTGAAGCCAGAGATAGGCCAGGTCTACTTGACAGAGCAAAAGTCTTAATAACTATCTTAGATGTAAATGATAATGTACCAGAAGTGGTAGTTACATCTGGAAGCAGATCAGTTGCTGAAAGTATGCCTCCAGGAACAGTAATCGCTCTTTTTCAAGTATATGATAGAGACTCTGGACTGAATGGCCTGGTAACATGCTCCATCTCAAGAAGTATGCCATTTGAACTGGAAAAATCAGTAGACAATTATTATCGATTAGTGACCAATACAGTACTAGATCGAGAACAGGTATCCTTGTACAACATCACTGTAACAGTCACAGACAAAGGAATTCCACCTCTGTCTACAGAAACACTTATTTACCTAAATGTGGCAGATATCAACGACAACCCACCTGCCTTCCCCCACTCCTCCTATTCTGTCTACATCCCTGAAAACAACCCCAGAGGT